TTTTTAATGATCTTTATTGTCACATATTTTAGTAACATAATAATTACGGTATCAATATTAATAGTAACAGTATTAATATTAATAGTATTGGAAAGGAAATAATTTCCTCACAAATTCAAGGAATGAGGAAATCAGGTGTGGCCACAAGGGCATATTAATTGACTCCTTGGTGGCTAAACTCATGTGGAGCCTTCTGTATGCAACAAAATACACAAAGAACTACAGTGGATAGTACATAAACCCAAGGCTACTAGGTTAAACTCCTTAAAGAGACATAGTATATAAATGTAAATATAGACCCATTAATAGCATCCAAAATAATTGCAACTACTATTTTGTCACTGTTTCTCCATTTGATTGATTTCTTTTATTTCAGCTATACATGTGTCACCTGCCAACAGGAAAATGGCAAAAAGTGATAACATATGGCAACAAACCCGAGCCAATGTATGGACAAGTAAGTTCTCCAACAGGAAATAATTAAATAATGTAATGTAATGAGAACCATATAGCATTTAGAATGCAGGCTACTAATATACATTAGTCTTAGCCATATTACCAAAATTATTAAAATTGCTTTATCAAAACTGAATATGACAAATTGTATATTTCAGGCTGTATGTCTCAGCGATGATAAACTTTACGTTGTGGGTGGCACAACTGGTTTCCAGTACAGCATTGATGTTCATTGCCTTGACTTAAACCAAAGAGAGTGGGTACATCTGAACCCCAGAGTATCAAGCCACAGTTTTTGCCCAGAGGAAAGGTAAGGACTGCAATGAACCCCTGATTCTAATGAATTAGTAGTTGATTAAAATAACAAAACAAGGAACTTTATTATATAAAGTTATGAAATTCTAGACTTTATTTGTAATATAAAATGGGAATCTATATTTTCTATTTCAGCATTAAGAGATGTCATTTACTGTATGTTTCTTTTATTCTTTGCAAACCAAGGTATCGGCATGAAGTGGTGGAACACGAAGGCGCCCTTTATGTATTTGGTGGGGGGAGGTCAGATGCTGCATGTGACCTCACTTATCTTCCTACATTTTTAATCAAGGAACGAATGTGGGTGCCTACAAAAACTTATCCCGATCCTGTCCATAGTACTTTTCCACAATGTCGCAGATGTCACGTTGCCTGTAAATTCAATAATTGTAAGTATTCCTTTAACAGTTGTGCTCTCCTATGGAACAGCTATGAGTAACATGCTAACTTTGTGTTTTCAATGTGAAGGATAAAATATACCTTTATTTTTCAGTTGTGTATATCCACGGAGGCTACAATGGGGTGGAAGCATTTGCTGACTTATGGAGACTCAGTCTATCAAGTTTTGAGTGGCAGAAATTACCTTGTAAATCTCCAGTACCACTGTATTTTCACTCGGCAGCAGTTACTGAAGTAAGTAGTTCTTCCATTTCCATCAGGTTACTTTAACTGAAGATCTAGCTTGTTTATACAGCTCTTTTCATTTCAGGCATTTGTATAGGATAGTAAGAAATGCATTCTATAACTTTTTTATATTTATTTCAAAGGATGGCTGTATGTACATGTTTGGAGGAGTAAAGAATCTCGAAGAGAACAAACGAACTGCAAGAATTACAAAAGTATGGCTGAGTGTAGGAAAGCTAAGGGATATGTGTTGGGAAGCTCTGTGTCATTACACTCCAACGCTGCCGAGTTTGCCTCCAGCAACTCTGCTCCAGATGGGAATACCCATATACATTGTAGATAGTTTGCAGCATCAGACACCAGCATATGGATAGGTTGCCAGTAAGTTAATAGGTAAGTCTTTTTTTTTTGTATGAGATGTGATAAATCATACCATTCTTTTTATATAATTTATTTGCATTATAATTTAAATGATGTTTCACAAAAATGCATACCTATGCATACCTGCATCATCTCTCATACTGAATATTAATGGTAGTTCATAAATGAGAGAATATTAATGATGGACACTAATAATGCTTCCATCATACAGCTATGAAAATTACACACAACACTTTACATCTGTATTGAATTGTAAATAGTCCTTTCTCTGTTTTTCAGAAACCATGTGTTGGTGAAGTCTTCAGAAGCAGCCATTTTAAACTGCAGATATGAGATGGCAGCAAAGTCATTATTAGTACATCATAATTTATTTAATTTCAAAGATTATCCTAAAGCCTTTGCTTTCTTTGCAACTTTATACTGTATTGTTAAATGCAAACATGGGGATACACTTATAAAATGTTCAGACAGGTTCACATGGAAATGTAAAGTACATTCAAATCAATATATTCAAACACAAAAAATGCATAGACGTATAGATGTACAGACACACATGCAGAACAAAGCACTCTTGCATTCAAATAAATATACATACATGCTTATTCAATAGTAACACTTATGCATACACCCAACTGCATGCACACTCACTCACACACACACTTTTTTTCTCTCTCTCTCTCTCTCTCTCTCTCTCTCTCTCTCTCTCTCTCTCTCTCTCTCTCTC